ATTAAAGAATATATCTTAACGCTAACATCTGCATTAAACCTAGACCGTGGTATTTTTAGTCGTTTGAACTGAGACTTAAAACTGCCTTACCACACCAAATTTTTACTATAATTTTTATTCATAGAAATGCACAATTTTTATCCATAAAAATTTGACAAGTGTCCTTTTTCTGCGTTCTCTAATTAACGTGTTCAAAACAATACGGCATGAAAAAAATGTCAAATTAACAGACTGTTCCCCAGTGCTGCGAGCTTTTCAATTATAAATTTCAATGGCCCAAATTAAAGTTTTTTCTTATTCCTTATGTAACGTCTGTTCCAATTATTTCATATCCTTAGGATTCCCCGGTTTTAAAAAAGCCTTTTCACTTCTTTTTCTCCTCAAAATCATTGCTTTTGCTCTGTATAAATAATTTTTCTTTAATGCAATTCTAAATTCGTTTAAAAAAATTGCAGACTATTTCTGTGGAATCTCCCAAAGATGAATTCTTCTCAATAAAATTTCCTATTAATATGAATTTAAAAGGAAACTTTTCCAATTTGAAATAATGAATTTCAAATACTCTGACAAGCATTTCACAAGTTGGCGCTTGGTATAAAAAAGTTTTCAAATGATTTACCGGCTCTGACGCGTCGTCGTTTTTTTTTCGACGTTGGGTCTCTGGCCTAACTATTAAAACGTGCTTTTTAAATTTTTAAACAAACAATAAAAATATTATCGTACGTATTTACATAGCCGCTTGATGTCAATAAAATAATATGTGTTTCAAGGTAATAAAATCATAAAAGAGACCCTTGTGTTAATGGTAAAAAACTTCCTCGAACGAATTTAGAATATAAATGACTTTTTGTCATGTAAGATTGATTTAACATTTTTAATTAAGATAAATAACTATTATTATAATTTTTACTGACAATTTGCGAACAAATCATGTATGACGGCACTTTTCTCGAAAACAACTATCTGACTAATTATTTATGCTGAAATTCAAGCAATATTTTTTACATAAATAAATACTATCTACTTTATTTATTAACTTTAAAGAGATTACAAACATTTAATTTAACAATAAAGTAATAGTTTTAAAAAACTGGTTTTTCAAACTATTAATTTATTTTTTACTTTTTGGTCTTAAATTTTAGTTAGTTAGTTAGTCTGTTAATTACATCTGCTTAAGAAACCCTCTCATTTGATACCCATGTCAAGGAGGTTGTGAAGAAATAGGTTACCGCCAAATTGGATTTAATGTGGCGTCACTCACCTTATGGTTTTATACTCGTCAAACCCTTTAATATAATAATAAGTTTATCCGCCATATTGGATTTAGTATGACGTCACTTACTTTATCCTTTTCTACTTGTTAAAACCTTTAATTTGATACCCATGTCGAGAAGGCTGTAAAAAAAGGTAATCCGCCATATTGGATTTAGCATGACTTTACCCACTTTATCGTTTTCTACTCGTCAAACCCTTTAATTTGATACCCATGTCAAGGATGTTGTGAAAAAATAGGTAATCCGCCATATTGCATTTAGTATGACGTCACTTACTTTATCGTTTTCTACTCGTCAAACCCTTTAATTTGATACCCATTACAAGGAGGCTGTAAAGGAATAGGTAATCCGCCATATTGGATTTAGCATGACGTCACTTACTTTATCGTTTTCTACTTGTCAAACCCTTTAGATTGATAACCATATCAAGAAGGCTGTAAAGAAATAGGTAATCCGCCATATTGGATTTAGCATCACGTCGCTCACTTTAATAATAATACTTAATAATAATTTATTTCTGCTATTACCTAATAGGTTTACATCGTTTATCATTTTCTACTCGTCAAAACCTTTCATTTGATACCCATGTCAAGGATGTTGTGAAAAAATAGGTAATCCGCCATATTGGATTTAGCATGACGTCACTCACTTTATCGTTTTCTAATAATCTCGAAACGTTTTCCATTTATTCAATTTCGTTTACAATTTGCGACACGTTCTTGTATCGAAAAAGGTTCTAAACAACGCATGGCTGCTTTTAAATTAAAATTAAAACACAAGGGGAGGTGGTGGTGGTTTTGTGTTGTTCGAAACAGGTCAGTTTGCGAAACACAACAAAAAAAATGTGTCCGCTCGACACTCAGGCAAAATTGATGTAGGTCACCTACAGGGCAGAGTTTAATTTAATTTAATTACTGGGATTTAGAGAATTAATATTCTTGAAATGATATTTGTAGACAAAGGTGGTTGTTTTTTTAATGACCAAATGCTATAACACCGGAAACAATTTTAGTATACACAGGATATTCGTTTATGAATGACAATGATATTGCGTTCTAAGTTGAATATGATACTTTATTCATAATTTAATAAATTTAACTTGTTGTTGATGATGATGGCGATTTGTTTGGACTTAACCTTTTTTGTTAACATAGAAAATCAGAGCAATTAAAACAGCGGCGTACGTGACTTCGATTTTAATTGCAATTTAACTTTAAATTATATGTGCACATATTTTAATTAACGTTTTTCTCGACATTTTCATTAAAATAAACATTTTAGTGTCGCGTTATTTATAGCGCGCTCAAGCAAACAATACGAGATAAAATAAATAAACTTTATCGTTTTACAGCTTTGTACCTTTTATGTTGCTTCTTTTATTAAGAGACCAGATATGCCATTAATAACCACTATTTACTTCATATCGGGAATTCATTGTAAATATAAAATACAATTTTATTCCAATTCTTAATCTTATCTTACTTATTTAGGTGTTTGAGCAACGTCTATAGATAAAATAGTTCTACATCAATTTTATAAAATACATGAAAAATTTACCTAAAGTATAAAAAGTCTAAACTTTTTACTTAAATTCCTGCGTTTTAAAATAGTACCCTTTTAAAAGGCAGATTAGTTCCCTTTTGTTTCGCCGCAATGCAGTAACAACAATAATAATTTAAATTTAACCCAACGAATAACTTTTTTATGTTCGGCAGACGTAAAATTAGCAATTTGCGGCCATTCGTTCTACATTTCAGTATTTCGTTTTAAACACGAATTTTCTCAAAATGCTACTTTTGCTTTTTAACACTTGTTTATAATTTTCATCCTATTTTTTCAACGCACGTGCAGCAATAAAGGTTACTGGAATTTATGAATGTATTTAAATTTTACATTATTTTTGCTGCCAGTATGCAAAATAGATGTTTTATTGAAAACAACATCAAAAACTTATTTGTTAGGTAACCCACAAATATGTTATTTTATCACACCATGCAAATTCCTTGGAACTATCTAAAAATATCACTGAAACTAATGATTTTCACAGGCTTCTTATAAAATTTTAAAATTTCATAAAACTAAAAAAAAAGTTGTGTAGGCACCGGGTATCGATCCCGGTACCTCTCGCATGCAAAGCGACCATCCTACCATCTGAGCTACGCTGCCCGATATCAATTCTTATCGCTCTGTAATTCACAAAAGCAATACAAAATTCAGGGTAAAGACAATAAAAATAAGAAACGGGATTTTTTCCTTGCGCAGACAGTAATTTGTGGAAAATGTATATTTTCCGTTCAGCATCCCTCCGCTCCAGTAAAATGGACCTTTTTGACAGTTATTGTTACCCGCCTTTTTTTATATATCTTTGAACTAAAAATTACGCTTACATGGTTTTTATTATATCATAGAGTCTATAGTGACCTTGAAATGTTTTAAAGCCTTGCAAATTAAGTTATTGATGTTTTGCGCCGTCTGTTATACACAGGGTGTGCCAGAAAGGGAAATTTTTGTTTTTTTTTTTGTATTTTGGAGGATTGCATTTTGATAAGAATGATGGATGGTGTGATTAAAAGTGAAATTAGTTTAAAAATGGCGTTTTTGGGATGCTGTGTGCTCGGCACCCGGCACGGCGCAGACAACGTTTATTGATTAGTTTCATTTCTGCTCAAACGCCATTCTTACCTTGTCCTGCCAGTTCCAGTGCAGTTTTACTGGAAACAAGTTGACATTGTCACAATATCAATCCCAAATAAACAATCTATTAGTGTGTCATGTGAGTAAAACGTATATGACAATTGAATATCGACATTTATTTGATATTTAAACTCACAATACCCCAATCTATACAGACCATCCATCCAGCCAATCAACACACAATATTCTCTGTCTATGTTTTACTTTGTTTCGTTTCATGCATGCATGTATAAAGCACGTGTCGTGATTTATTTTAATATGTGATTTGACGTGCTGTCATGGCCATACAGCGATGTTCACTTGCAAAAGTCAATAGGACATATGTCACAAATGATATTTATCAAATGAATTACTTTTTAGTTTAGAGAAGCATGCCCAAATCGATACATTACAAACAAAAGTCAACAACTTTGTTTTGTTTAATTAACAAATATAAACCTAAATACTTAATCAATTACATATAGTCAAGGTAAACCCAATTATAAAATTTATGGGTCAAAGTGTATTAAATGTATTTAAAAATCAAGTTAATACAAATACTTATTGGCTTGTTTTTATTTTAATCCAAACAGGATTAAGCCTAATTAAATAAAGAATTTCAATTATTGTATTTATATAGGTATTGTATTTTTTAAATCGGTCTACCCTTTCGCATTTGTTTTATTCGTTTATTGGCCCACCTTTATTTATTGCTCACTGTCGCCAGACATAACGTTTATTACCCCAACGGCCACACAGTGAGAGAGCACTGTCTTTTGTTTACAATTGTTTCCGTGTATTTCCATTAAAAAGTACGCGTAGGTGCGTAGATGCAGTTATTAATAGCAGCGAGTTGTCCTTAGGAATTTACCACTAGTCTCACGGTGCGCGCGCTTCGGAAAACCAGTTCTTTAAGAAGCCCCTTAAGTGCAATCGTTTGAATTTTTTTTTTGTCAGCGACATTGTCTAGTTTTGCATTAAAGGAAATTCCTCTAACCTCGATGTCGCCAGCAGAGCAAAAAGTCAATATGGCATTTTTTCTTTTTCTTCCAGTCTGATATCACATTCCATGATGACGCCGACATTGAAGGCAGCGGCAACGGGGGAGAGGTGACCCACGACCTGGGCGAGTCAAGTGGTTCTGGTTCCGGGCCTCCAGAGGATGACGAGGACACCCCAGAGCATCCAAGCAAACCAGGTACCACCACCACATACTTACCGCCCAGAGGTATTTACGTTTTTACTTTTTTTTTGCATTACACATTTAAGGCTGATTTATAGATTGCCTTCCTTCCTCCCGTAAAAGATGAACATAGATTACGGTACGGTTTTTGTATTGTTCATCTTTTACGCGAGGAAGAAAGGAAGGCAATCTATAAATCAGGCTTTACACTTTACTCAATTCAATTGTGAATTTAAAAGTTTCTTGAAAAAAATTACATGCTTGTTAATACTATCAAATGTATTTTCTTAGAACTGCGTTGATCCTTAAATTACATTGAATCAACATTTATCGGTTTATTATTATATTATTCTCTCAAGAGCACGTGAGTAATAAATAACGTTTTGCTTTTTTATTATTTAATTTCATTTATTTACATTTGCGTTGTTTTAATTTTTTTTTAAATTTTAGAGCCACATCCCATCCCAGAAAAGACAACAATAGTACCAACGATCGATCAGACGGTACGCACTCATCAAGACAGGAAATTGCCGGAATCAGCCGAAAATCCACGAGTCGAAATAATGAATCCGAAAACGGAAGATCGTCCCGCCTCATTCTTTGCACAACCAGGAATTTTGGCCGGTAAGCTGAAAACATGTTTATTTTTTTTTCCTTTGATGTGATAACATTTGTGGGAGATTTTGCTAACCGGATTTGATTATTTATCTACTTCAAAAGGATATTGGTCATAAACATGTTTGTATTTGATAAAGATTTTGCACAACAACGTGTAATAAAATCCCTACAGAATAAACCACAAAACAATCTAATCTATTACTTTATATGCCATAATCAAATTTTTTTTTCTAAATTATCAGTTTAAATCGCCTCTTAAATTAAAATCAGACAACTTCACTCCCCACTCAAACTTGTTATTCAAATAAAAACAATTGAAATGGTGCATCCGGCAAATTAAAGACGTACGCAGTACAAATGTTATTTTTTAACTATGAAACTCTGCTTTAATCATTTTTCTTTTCGATTACTTTAATAAGAAAATAATTTTGCTTTAATTTGATAGATTAGAAAATACATGAATATGTTAAATGAGAAAGCGCATGGCTGCGCAGTGGGGTTGGAAGCTGCGCAGAACATAATCGAAACTTTGAGCCTAATGTTGGTGTTTGTTTTCAGCCGTGATTGGTGGAGCAGTGGTTGGGCTGCTGTGCGCCATTTTGGTGGTGATGTTTATCGTATACAGGATGCGCAAAAAAGACGAGGGCTCCTACGCTCTGGGCGAGCCGAAGCAATCTCCGACTCAGAACTCATATAGCAGAGGCACTAAGGAATTTTACGCCTGAAAAAAATAGTGTTATCGATAAATGGACTTATCCCAAAAATACATCCACAGTGGAGTTAAACAGTTTTTAGTCAAGGGCGAATTTTTAGGGACTGAATCTTTTCTGCTTTTTAGTGCAGCTTAAATGTCATTATAAACATTACATTATACAAGACATACTCATTAAGATTAACGCACATTGTAAGGAATTTACATTTAATGGAAACAAAAAAAATTATCTTAAACAAACAAAAAAATTAACTATTTCGTTTCGTTTCTACTCGTATATTGGAGATTTAGGTAAAAACAAGTAAGATTCGGTCTAATTATTGCCAAAAACTGCCAACAGTGTGAGTGAACTATTGTGTTAATTAATTAATTAATTTGAGTAACAAAAAAAGTGGCAAGTTCATTCATTTCATATACTATCGAATGTATGTATATATAAATGTAACAAATCAAGATACAAATAACATAAATGTTTTTCGTCCATTTTTAATTTTGAGTGTATAGTACAAATTTATTCAGTTCCCCTTATTTATAAATTATTGTTTCATTTTTTTTTTAAATATATCTACATGAATTATATTTAATTTGACGGTTTATTATATTATATTTCAGTACTATATGCTCAAATTATACTTAAAGGTACCTATTTAATATAGTAATAATTAAAGTAATAAATCGAAAAAAGTAACATAGGTAGTATTTATAGATGTAGCGCAGGACTTTGCATATGCTCATATTTTTTACAGCTAATTTACATAGACTGTTTAATCATATTTATAATAAACATTAAGCATTTCTTTATTATCGTTACAGCACTGTAACAAATAACTTGTTACAAGCTTGTCATTGGTTTTCATTATGTGCTTACATAACTAACTTACTAGTAAGATGTAAGGTGTAAGTTTTAGCTACAACTATCATGAGTCAATTACCTATAAATACATAGAAAGTAGAACGGACGAACCTCTTGTAAGAAAATTGTACGGTGTGCCCCAAATTTTCTAGTTTGTTTTAATTTTAAGGGTTAAGACTTATTGATTATGAATCAAATTTAATTTTATCATTGGACGTTTGCCATATATTTATTATTTGAAATTTGGGTCACCTTGTACTCTTACAGTTACAGTACATCTATGGTGAAATATTTGTTACAGTACTGATTGATCTTTCTCTCTCGACAATATCTAACATTCCCATAATCTATCTACCTATTTAGTAACGCTAGCATTTTTATATATATTTTTATTCAATTATTTGAAATTGAGCTCTGTAATTTCCTGCTTAAAAGTCGAGGTTTTGAGAATAAAAACCATTTCGAAAAACTTCCACTTTCTATGCCAATAACAGTTGCTCCACAACCTGTTTTTCCTTTATTTTTGTTAAGTGAATTATTATTAATATCTTAATAAAAATAACCGAAAATTGATCTTTTTAAGCTGCTGTCTATACATTAGACACAAGTTCTAAAAAGTCTTTGCAAAAAACAATTATTAAATATAACAACATTCTAGTTGCTATAAATAATGTTGTTTAATTAATATCTATGTATTTGCTATACATACATAAAACTGAGCAAGAAAATGTTTATTTATTTAATGTATTTGTTAATTGGGAAAATAATATATCAACCATATACTTATAACAATAACATTTTTTATTAATTGATTGTAGGTACTTGAAATTGAAGTGTATAGTATTAGAATAATAATGTAAAATCCGGTTGTAAATAAACTAAACCTTGGAACTCGTAATTTTTATTTATTATACTTCACCCCATTCAAGAAGAGTAACTTGCTAGGTGGGGGCACGTCAAAAAATGTACGGATGCGCAAAATGCTAGTGCGCATACACTGTGACTGTTGCCAGGTCCAGGGAAATTTCCCCAGATCTAGGGACTTTTAAGGATAAAGGGGACGATTTTAAAAATTGTACAAAATCTAGGGAAATAATAATCGTCATAAGACAATTTAAATATTATCAAATTTTAGGGCAATTGCCATTTTATACACGAATTTAATTTAGGTACGAGCGAGCTTACAAGCGAGTGCTTAAATTATTTAGTGTATAGAAAAGTTTATAAACGAGGTGCATACTATACTTTTTCTAAGACAAATACTTATTATTATCTTAAAATGATTTAAATCAAAAATTTGTATAGAACGCCATCTATGAAACAATAGGGGAATCTGTGTCACCGTCAAATGTCAAATTTTTGTATTTTATAAACACAATTATAAAGGTTATAAATCGAAATGTATTTCTTGAAAATTGACAGTTTTTCACAGTGAAAGTAAAGAAAATGTTTTATGAGCACTTTACAGTGGAGTCCGTGCCCGAATTTAAGTTATAGTTTACTGCCGGCGAAATTAAAAGGTCAGTACAATGTTCATATAAACTTTTCAAATATTGGCGTTGAGAAACTATTAAATACTCTTGTATTTTTGTATTAAGATAATAAAATAATTTTCACATTTAGTATTATTTTACAAGAAAGGCAATTTCTTTTAACGATTTTATGACAACTCAACTAACTTAAAACTAACTTCAGCCCGTGACTAAAAACCTGTTCCTAACTTCAGCCCGTGACTAAAGAGCCATTAAGCCACAACTTGTCAATGTGTATTTAAAAGGTCACTTAGTGTCATGGAAACATGTACGATAAAGGGCGTTTTAAAGGTGGGAGAAGAAAAACAATTATTCGGTCTTTCATTCGGAATAATCTCATTTATAATTAAATTATCCATGAAATTGTTGACAGTTTGGTTCAGTTTTTCAACGTCAACTCTCTTTCATTGTCTTAAGACTGATTTATAGATTGCCTTCCTTCCTTCCTCCCATAAAAGATGAACAATACGAAAACCGTGGTGCTATTTACAGATTACTGTACGGGAATCTATAAACAGCACTACGGTTTTCGTATTGTTCATCTTTTACGGGAGGAAGGAAGGAAGGCAATCTATAAATCAGGCTTAAGGCTACGCCAATGTACAATCTTGCAGATAAACAATGATAATTTTGATGAACAATACGAAAACCGTAGTGCTATTTACAGATTACCGTACGGGAATCTATAAACAGCACTACGGTTTTCGTATTGTTCATCTTTTACGGGAGGAAGGAAGGAAGGCAATCTATAAATCAGGCTTAAGGCTACGCCAATGTACAATCTTGCAGATAAACAATGATAATTTTGACGCATTTTATGCGTTCAGTGTTATATGGTCCAAGATCGAAAGTTACTCCTCCTTTATTTAGTCTTCTTGACCCATCTCCATCAAAATTAACCGCGGCGCATTCGCCATTTTTGCGCACCTTATGCGTTTAGTTTTATATGGTCCAAGGTCGAGAGTTAATTATCCTCATCAAAATTAATCCCGGCGCATCCGCCATTTTTGACAACATATTTACAATATACCTTGTTAAGTGAATAAGGAAGAACCAACAGTTATATCATATGCAAGATTTATATGGGTGATTCCACCGAAACGGTACAATTTACGTTTACCCCAAGTATAATATTTTATAAAAAAATAAATTAATCCCGGCGCATTCGCCATTTTCAAACGTAAAAATACCCAAGAAAAATGTTTATTGATGCATTAAATTAACATTTAGCGTACTTATAACAAAGAAAAATCCTGTTTTGAAACAATTTAGACCTCTCTATTTCGAATTTAAGAATAAATCATCTTAGATACCGAAATCAGTAGAAAACTTTCTTCTGAAAGCTGGCGCCATCTTAACAACATGCATCGGAACTAAATTATTTACAGTTTTCTCTAATATGAAACTATATAATTCTGTTAATTTGGCCCAATAACATTTTTACTTTCTATCAAAATTACTCACCACAGATTACTCACTTTGCTAAAGTTCACTGTATAAATATGACGTTAGTACTTAAACGTGTGTTCTATGCGCTTAAAAAACAAATGTAATGTAAGTAACTGAAATAAATATTTTATTATTATTATTAAACTAAAGGAATTCGGGCGCGCTGGTCTATAAAAATATAAGGTTAGAAAAAAGTGATATTTTGAAATGGCCAAAATAAACGAAGATTTATTGAAAGAAAGAAAGAAGTGTAGTTTTAATACAGCTGAATTAACGCATTTATTAGATGGGGGTAAAGACAAAACTTTGGAAAGACGTTCAAGAGGTAAGTAATGTAAATTTTAAAACTTTCTCTTTTTTAAATAACTGTTTTAAACTCTTTCTAGAACATTTCTTTTTGGATGATCCTGAATTAAGATCAAAAATACCTTCGGAATACTTAAGTCATAAGGAAAAATATGAAGAGGCTATTAGAAAATCTTGTATTCTTTTTAGAAAGGTACAAGAATTACAAGAAGCTGGAAAAGGGGGCATGGACAATTATAGGTATTTTTTATTACTTATTAGTATTTAATTTTTAATAACCTGTTTATGAGAACTTTAAACCTTTATAATATTATTCTATGAACCAAATTAATAATATATTACTATATAATGTTTATCAAAAATTAGAATACAGTTTATCAGCTTTTAAAATTAGAACACAAGTTAATCAATTTAGATTCCCACTATAATAATTTCTAAATTTTATACATAATAATTATCTACAAAATATTTTAAATAAAAACATTAAAATTTAATTCAACAAGGTAATTTTAAAATATAATCTTTAAGTGCTTTTATAATTTTTTTGAAGGGCGAAATAAACAAATTTATCAAGTTTTTTAAATTCAATTTGCAATAGATATTTTTAAAATAAAATTTTGCAATTGATATTTAAACAAATATTATAAATTTTCCCAACACCAAAACTAAACACAAAGTGCCTAATTGATATTTAATAATTAATTATTATTCATCATTAAATAGCAATGTCAAACAATTAATATTACCTAATTGCTTTTTAATGTTCCTATAAATTTATCTTTAATTATGGTTTCCCTAAGGGGAGAGCGGGGACGTAACTTAGCCTACTTGATAACGACCTTTGGAGTTGAAAATTTAATTTTACGGCATTTTTTCTCTTCATTTATTGCTGCTCTTATAATTATAACATTCCTTGGTCTTGCGTTCTAATATAAAATCACTTAACATTCAGAATTTTCAATTACATCTCCAATAAGTTGAAAACTCAATTCCAGGGAAATTTTGGGAGGTCAATTAGGTTCGGCCATATTGAAAGACGGCAACCCCATAACGCTTCATTATGTGATGTTTATACCCACCATCATGGGACAGGGTAATTTTGAACAGCAAGCCGAATGGATACAAAAAGCATGGACTTGCAGCATTATAGGAACCTATGCCCAAGTAAATATTTTTCGAAAATATAATACACACAAAAAAGTGCTGATTTGGTAAATTTTTTTAGACTGAGTTAGGTCACGGTACATTTATTAGAGGTCTTGAAACCACGGCAACATACGACCCAAAAACTGAGGAATTCGTATTGAATAGTCCCACTCTAACTTCTTACAAATGGTGGCCAGGCGGGCGTAATATAAAATAAAAATATATAACAATAAAAAAGTAATTGTTTTTTTGTAGTCGGTCACTCTGCCAATTTCGCAATTGTAGTAGCTCAATTATACACACAGGGTAAATGTCACGGAATTCATCCCTTCATCGTACAATTAAGGGATGAAGAGACCCATATGCCCATGAAAGGCATTAAAATAGGAGAAATCGGGTGCAAGTTGGGTATGAACTCAACCAACAATGGTTATTTGGGTTTTGAGAACTACCGCATACCCAGGACCAATTTGCTCATGAAAAATAACAAAGTTTTACCTGTAAGTAATCATTTCATAGATAACTGCACCAAATCGATCAAGGGTCAAGTTTGTGTTTTTAGAAACACAGACAACAGAAATAAAATAAATTCGAAGTTTTGTTTCCACCAACCAATCAAATTATTGTCTGAAGAAATTTTAAATGTTGTTAATAAATTGCACGGGAAGCTATGCACGTTCATCCTTTCATAATTTTGTAAGAATGTCGAGCTTTGATTTTTATAAACTAATAAATTTAATTGGCCACAAGCCAAAGCAAAATACAAATATACAATCTGTTTGATCCTTTTTGATCTTTCTGATTCCGAACGAACGGAAATCAAAAAATAAAACAGCATCTGTCGCAAAACCCCCGACTATTCAAAACAAAAAAAAAAATTTTAGGACGGAACCTACGTCAAATCACCAAGCAGCAAACTAACATACGGTACTATGATTTTCGTTCGAGTCGTATTGGTGCAAGATTGCGCTAGCTACATGAAGAAAGCTGTCACGATAGCCACAAGATACAGTGCTGTGAGGCATCAATCGGAAATGAAGCCAAAGTAAACAAAACTACACTACATTTTGCAAATTACGAGATTATTAAAAAAATAATTTTAGCTGCCCTGAGCCGCAAATCATCGACTACGTAACTCAGCAGTACAAGTTATTTCCATATATAGCTATGAGCTTCGCGTTTCAGTACAGCGCCAGTTGGTTGTGGGATATATACAACAACGTCACAGGAGAGCTGGAATCGGGCCAATTGGAAAATTTACCGGAGTTGCACGCGTTGGCTTGCTGCCTTAAAGCTGTAGGCACTGCAGATTGCGCTGCGGGCGTTGAAACTTTAAGGTTGGCATGTGGGGGGCATGGTTACATGACGGCTTCCAACTTGCCATCCACATACGGCCTGGCGACTGCCATGTGTACTTACGAGGGTGAGAATACCGTTCTACTATTGCAGACCGCCAGATATCTGATTAAGATTTGGCAGAACAAGAAGAACATTCAGAAATTGCCCACGGTTAGGTACTTGGATAATGCCTTATTCAACAATAGGTCTTACGAAAAGTCGGTTAGCTGGATTTTGTCTGCACTTCAGCAAGTCGCAGCTGCCAAAATCGATTTAGCCAATAAGCATATCAACGACAGGGTAAGACAAGGTAAAGCTTATGAAGACGCTTGGAATGAAACTTCCATTGAATTAGTAGCAGCTGCGGATGCTCATTGCAGAACTTTCCTGCTGGACATTTTCAATTTAACCGTTAATAACTTTCAATTAATTTCACCCGAATTAAAAGCTGTTCTTACGGATCTTTTGGAGTTGTATGCTGTTCATACAGCCATTAGAATGACTGGGGACTTATTAAGGGTAAATATTTTTAAATGTAATGTACGGCTTTGAAACTTATTGCTTGTTTTTAGTTTACCAATACTATTGGTAAGGATGTTGAAGCATTGCAACTGTGGTTGGAAGAGTTATTAGCCAAAATTCGACCAAACGCAATAGGGATTGTCGATAGTTTCGATATTAGGGATGAAGTTCTTGGTTCAGCTTTGGGTGCTTATGATGGTAATGTCTACGAAAGATTATTTGCCGAAGCCCAAAAAAGCCCACTGAACCAAGAGCCGGTCAACAAATCATTTGGACTCTATCTTAAACCATTCCTGAAAAACAATCTTTAATAAACTTAATGATATCTTTTTGACGGCTGTACACTTTTTATACATGTAGTTTATACATTGTTTTTATTTTATTGTTGTTATAGTATTATTTAAATGTTACTTACAAATCCATCCAGTAAAATATATTTTATTACAAAAAATGTTTTATTTACAAACCCATCCAATGGTTATTTCACGGTCAAAATTGCAATTTCATATGTATATACAAAATTTTTATTATTTTGTGAGGTCATTAAATTGCAAAATATTTAAAATTTGATTAATTAGTGGACTTAATAATAAAATAAAACGTTTCTTTAAGAAAATGTAAAACTTGTATAGTTTGGGTTTTTGTAGATTAATCATTTTTGTGGTGCATAACTGTTGTTTGGTTTAAGTGGACTGTATATTTTTGTTAGCTGATTCCCTTGAATAATTGCACGCAATATATTATTTGTCTTTTTATTTTAATAATAACGTGTGATTGTCAGACTTACCACAAACAATTTAAGCCTTTTTGAACTATTCCAATTTATCTTATTATCTTTAATTCTTCCAATCTTAATTCTTTTTTTCGACAGACGTTTTTTCTCTTCTTGTCTATTTTTCTTATTATTTTTTTGCCTGACAACCTCTGCCCTCGCGATCCCAATTTTTTATCAAACAAAAAAACTATACAATTGTTAAATTGCTCAACAATACTCACTTCTATCAATTAAAACTAATATATTAACACGAAACATACCGCCCACCTAAAGTGCATGGCATTTTATAAAATATTTGGTAATGGACATAATTTTACGAGCGGGCGCTTCAAAATCCCTTGTGAAGTACGAACGTCCACTACTCGGGTGACACCGTCAGCACCAGGATATAATTTTTCCACGCGCCCCAAATGCCATTTTAAAGGCGGTAATAATTCGCTTTTTATCAACACCATAGAACCTGTACCAATATTCGATACAGGTTCCAACCACTTTCCACGTTGTTGTAGAGTATGCAGATACTCTTTATGCCAACGAGCCCAAAAATCCTGGTGTAAACGTTGTAACAATTGCCAACGCGACAAGCGATTTATTTTAAGATTCTGCATATTCTACAACAACGTGGAAAGTGGTTGGAACCTGTATCGAATATTGGTACAGGTTCTATGGTGTTGATAAAAAGCGAATTATTACCGCCTTTAAAATGGCATTTCGGGCGCGTGGAAAAATTATATCCTGGTGCTGACGGTGTCACCCGAGTAGTGGACGTTCGTACTTCACAAGGGATTTTGAAGCGCCCGCTCGTAAAATTATGTCCATTACCAAATATTTTATAAAATGCCATGCACTTTAGGTGGGCGGTATGTTTCGTGTTAATATATTAGTTTTAATTGATAGAAGTGAGTATTGTTGAGCAATTTAACAATTGTATAGTTTTTTTGTTTGATAAAAAATTGGGATCGCGAGGGCAGAGGTTGTCAGGCAAAAAAATAATAAGAAAAATAGACAAGAAGAGAAAAAACGTCTGTCGAAAAAAAGAATTAAGATTGGAAGAATTAAAGATAATAAGATAAATTGGAATAGTTCAAAAAGGCTTAAATTGTTTGTGGTAAGTCTGACAATCTATGAGGCGCCGTTTGCGTCAAAATAGAAGTGTAAAAAATAAATATAATATCTTTCACAAAATATAGAATTTAACGGATAAATATAACAAAACATATAATATATAACAAAACATATAAAATATAACAAAACATATAAAATATAACAAAACATATAAAATATAACAAAACAAACAAAAGCCAACAAAACATATAATACACCTGTAACAAAACAAATAAAATCAAACAAAACATATAAAACATAACAAAAAAAAATAAAATTCAACAAAACATATAATACACCTGTAACAAAACATATAAAATAAAACAAAACATATAAAACAACGAAAAAAATAAAATTCAACAAAACATATAATATACTTACAATAAAACAAATAAAATCCAACAAAATATAGAAAATCAAACAAAACATATAATATATATATATATAACGAAACAAATAAAATCAAACAAAACATATAAAAGCCTACAAAATATTAAAACTCGGGTTTCTCACTTGACCGTTTGAGGGCGCTCGACGCACAAATTTCAAGAAGACTGATAGTGGGAAATTTTTTACGCTGTGGCTCCCGTCCCGAGGCGGGACTTAAGTTCAGTCCCGATTGACGTCATAATTTTAAGATTTGTTATGTTATAATAAAATAATAATAATAATAAATTGTACCTGTATACATGTTAAGGGCACTTTAGTTACGTCATAAAACCAAACCAACCCAAACTCAACAACACAACCCAACCGACCCCGCCCCATTGGCCCCCCCCCGCCCCATTGAGCAAAAAACCCAACTAAAATGGGCAAATTTATGTTACGATAAAAATAAAACACTTTTTAACAAAGAAACAACAAATTTATAAAATAAAAAAAATAAAAAAAGTTTGACAACACTTCTAGTGGGATCGAACCCGGTACCTCTCGCATGCCAAGCGACCGTCCTACCATCTAAGCCATCGAGCTTGACACAAATTATAAAATCTCGGGGAATAAAAACGGATTTACAGTGTGTGACGTCAATCGGGACTGAACTTAAGTCCCGCCTCGGGACGGGAGCCACATCGAATTTTTTAAGGTTTTCTTTACATAGTTGTTTAAATTATAATTATAATTTATAGCTTTAATTAAAAAAGATGTAGTTGAATCTGCCAAGAATGGATGAAGTTACAACATTTTTCAGGAATTTGGTGCATGACTTCGCTAAAGGGGTTCTTCACGACATCAACGAGACATAGTAGAATGCTCTGCTAAATTAGAGGATCATTGTCCTGTGCTGACAGGTAGTTCCTGTACTTAATAAAAGTGGACACATTTTTACAGATCGACCCAACACATATGTTTATTATCCTTTGGAGATGGGAAGTGGAACTGCTGGCAGACCCTGCAATTGAATCCTTAAGGACATTACAATTGCATCCTTAAGGACATCACTGCGGAACCAATAGTCCACACAAAAGCGTTTTGCAATAAGGGGTCATCCATTAATTACGTGAGGAAATTTTGGCGATTTTTCGACCCCCCCCCCTCCTCTTGGTGAGATGTCCTGAGATTTTGCTCGACCCCCTCCCCCCTGCCTTAATCTCACGTGAGATTTTTTTAAATGCATGGTTTTAATGTAAATAAGTTAATCTGTGCTTGTCTCCTTTAGATTTATTTAAAAAAACAATTTGCTTATAATTGTTTACTTAATTTAACCCAGTTTTCTCCCAATTTTACACTGTTTCATTCGAAAAGAAAAAATTACGTGATATTTGCCGAGACCACCCTCCCCCCACGTGAGATTGGGTGAGGTTTGACTCGACCCCCTCCCCCTAAACACGTAATTAATGGATGCCCCCTAATTGGACAATTATTAAGGATTCACTTCTCATGATGAGAATCTCATCTCCAAAGGATAATAAACATATGTGTTGGTCGATCTGTAAAAATGTGTACACTTTTAAGTACAGGTAGGTCCTATACGGACACGACAATAATCCTCTAATTTAGCAGAGCATTCTACTACGTCTCGTTGATGTCGTGAAGAACCCCTTTAGCGAAGTCATGCATCAAATCCCTGAAAAATGTTGGCAGATTCAACTCCACCGTTTTTAATTAAAGCTATAAATTATAATTAAAAGAACTATGTAAAGAAAACCTTAAAAACTTTCCGCATTGGCGAAAAATCTCCCACTATTAGTCTTCTTGAAATTTGTGCGTCTAGCGCCCTCAAGCGGTCAAGTGGGAAACCCGAGTTTTAATATTTTGTAGGCTTTTATATGTTTTGCTTGATTTTCTATGTTTTGTTGGGTTTTATTTGTTTTATTGTAAGTATATCATATGTTTTGTCGAATTTTATTTGTTTCGTTGTTTTATATGTTTTGTTGAATTTTATTTTTTTTTGTTATGTTTTATATGTTTTGTTTGATTTTATTTGTTTTGTTACAGGTGTATTATATGTTTTGTTGGCTTTTATTTGTTTTGTTATATTTTATATGTTTTGTTATATTTTATAT